GGGCTTTGAACCCGCTACCTTAGTTGTATGTGGCTGGCACCTTAACCACTTAAGCCACAGGTGCTGAGCCTACTCCCAGAATTTCTGATTCTTAAGGTCTAGGATGGCCCCCAAGAGCTTACATTTTTAACAAGTTAATAAATATTACTGTGCTTTGGAGCCATTTTTTTTTAATTGATTGGAGCCACACTTTGAGATAACCATTGTTTAAAGTAGAAGTAGCATCCTACACAAGTACACAGACATAAAAACCTGGTACATTCAGAAAACCTAAGTAAATTTCAATATAAAGATATGGTAAGAGTTAAGGCTGAAGAAGTAATGGTGGTACAGATCAGAAGAACCTTACATATCGACCAGGAATTGGATCGTTGTTCTTGATTGTTTTGAGCATGTAGCATGTATGACGTGAAGCAGTGTGTGGAATCATGAAGTAGTCAGATGCCTTAAATTTTTTTCTAGAATTATTAGGTGGAGTAAAAATAAATAGAAATATAATTAATAGATAGGCCTTAGAAGTTTATAATCAGTGTCTTACTTCTGCCCTTTTTAGTTTCTCTTGGGCTACAGTGGAGTTTACTTTGTTCTTTATACTGCTTGTCTCAAGGCTGTAGCTTCATAATTTATATTTGACTTTTCATTTCTTGGGGAAAATAACTTGGGATTTTTATAAAACTCAGATTTGGGTAATTTTGAGAATCATAGTATTTTCTTCTAGTTTTAGGAAAATATTATTTTTATATTAACTGTATGAATTGTTTTCTGTAACAGTGAAGAATGTACAAACAGGACGCAGTGTCCCAGGAGTGAAGATGTTTTTTGGGCATGAGATTGTGAATGGTGAGTTTCGTCTTCCCTGAATGCTGATATTGGGGTTTGCAGTGGTGGTAAACTCACTGCTCTGCCTAATCCGTTATTTGAAATAAAATGGGGTATTGTCCTGTCATTAATATTGCACCATGAACTCTTAAAGTTGGTATTCAAGAGTTGACCCTTCTCTTACTGTTGCTGTGGGTACTGGACAAGCAGAATAGGCTTATAGAACTATAATCATTTTGATTTTATAATGTGAGGTATGCTGGTGCTCATCTCTAGAGACTTGGCTAGTGGGCAGTTGGGAATCTAAACAGGAAGGGATTGTCTTGCTAAGAAAGCTAATTAAATGCTATAGCTCCATTCACAATTCCTTATCTGAAACCTTGGGGCCAAATGTCTCAGTATCCAGAATTGGTCTGGATTTTTTTAAAACTTAACATGAATATATTGTTCATGTTACTTAAAGAAGACCTAAGCAGTACTCTTAAATGTAACACATTTTTCCAGAGATAATCCTACTAAGTGGTATAACATAGGACTATAAATGTCATCTCCGATGAAGTTTGGCTGATAAAAGACTTAGAACAAAATTTTTGGATTTTGGAATTGCAGAAAGTAGCCCTATTCTCTATTTATGCCTAGCTATAGGGACTCATCTGGTCAGTGTGCTTCAGCAAGTCATAGGATAAGACAAAGTAAGAGCTTTTCTTGCTTTCATAGACCCAGGAACTTGCTGCTTACTCCAAGGAGGGGTAAAAATTGGTGCTGAGTGGAGCAGTGGGAGCTCTGGGGCTTCTTAGGGCTGTACATTTCTCCCCATTGGGGCAGAGGAGAAGAAAAGACTTTTATAGATGAGAATTTATTACTGCTTAAAAGATTGCTTTGCTTTGTGAGAAAACTAGAATTTAGAAAGATGAAAATCTCACCACATTAATGACTGTAAATCCAGAGCCATTGCAAATTCCACAAGTTTGAACAGCTTTTCTCACTGAGAATGCTACCGTAAATACTCTTTGCCCCTTGAATATCTTTTTATAATGATAGTAGTGGAATTTCTAATTGTGTTTTAACTATTAACCTTTGAAATTAACTATTAACTGAGCTCTGGGCTGACGCAAACCTAGGCTATGGATGTTTTGTAGAAAGAAGCAAAGAAATCACTATTACTCATCTCCCTAACTCAAAAGAAGGCTGATTACTGACCAGCTTTGTAATCTTTATCTCTTCCTAAATTCTTTTCCAGGACTTGGTCCTTTTTCATAATTTTTTTTTTTTTTTGAAACAGAGTCTCATTTTGTCACCCTCAGTAGAGTGCTATGGCATTACAGCTCATAGCAAGCTCAAACTCTTGGGCTTAAGTAAGTCTCTTGCCTCAGCCTCCCAAGTAGCTGGGACTATAGGCACCCACAGACTATTAACCTACAGGCTATTTTTTTAGAGACAAGGTCTCGCTCTGGCTCAGCCTGGTCTCAAACTCATGAGCTCAAGCAATCCACCCATCTCAACCTCCCAGAGTGCTTAAGATTACAGGTGTGAGCCACTGCACCCAGCCAAGCAACCTCAAATTCTTGGCTTAAGCCAGTGGTTCTCAACCTGTGGGTCCCGACCCACAGGAACTGTATTAAAGGCTTGCGGCATTAGGAAGGTTGAGAACCACTGACTGAAGTGATCCTCTTGTCTCAGCCTCCTAAGGAACTAGGACTATAGGTGACTGCCACAATGCCGCTACTTTTTTTTTTTTTTTAGAGATGGGAGTCTGGCTCTTGCTAAGGCTGGTCTGGAACTCCTGAGCAATGCACCTGCCTTGGCCTCCCAGAATGCTAAGATTATAGGTGTGAGCCACCAAGCCTAGATCTTGTTTATAGTTTTGTTTTTTGTTCTTTTTGGCTGGGTCTGGCTTTGAACCTACCACCTCCGGCATATGGGACTGGTGCCCTACCCTTTTGAGCCACAGGCGCCACCCTCTTGTTCATAGTTTTTAAGCTCAAGGGATAGTCATCTCCTTGTTTGCCCTGTTGCCCAATCAGCCATGGAAGGGTCTGCCCAAAAAAGCACTGTTGGATAAGAATTGTCAAGATGAAGGATAAGAATGGCAAATTAGCACTTTCACTGAATTTTCCTTATCTCTGCCCCACATTCATCACTTCTAGATAATGCAGAGAAAAGAGACATTTGAAACAGTGGCTCTCTGAGAGGTTCCTTGAAAAGTACCTAAATATACTTTGCTGAATCTAAGATGCTATTAATTATATGACATCCTATTGCCTTTTGCACCATTAAAGAAAAAGAAGCTGCTAGTTAAACTATCATATATTTATTATAAATGGTAATGTCAGAGCTATTTAAAATGTGCATTTTTGGCTGGGCTTCATGGCTCACACCTGTAATTCTAGCATTCTAGGAGGCAGAGGCAGGAGGATTGCTTGAGCTCTGCAGTTTGAGAGCAGCCTAAGCAAGAGTGAGACCCTCTCTCTACTAAAAATAGAAAAAAATAGCCAGGTGTTGTGTCCTGTGCTTGTACTTCCAGCTATTCAGGAAGTGGAGGCAGGAAGATCTCTTAAATCCAGAAGTATGATGACACCATAGCACTCTAGCCGGGGGCAACAGAGTGATACTCTCTCAGAAAAATAAAGGTTAAAAGAAAGAAAATGTCTGGCTTGGTCTCTATAGCTCAGCAGCTAGGGTGTCAGCCACATACACCAGGGCTGGTAGATTTGAACCCAGCCCAGGCCTGCCAAATAACAATGGCAACTACAACAACAACAACAACAAAAACCAGACAAGTGTGGTGGGCACCTGTACTCCCAGCTACTTGGGAAGCTGAGGCAAAAGAATAGTTTAAGCCCAAGAGTTGGAGGGTGCTGTGAGCTGTGATGCCATAGCACTCTACTGAGGGTGACATAGACTCTGCCTCAAAAAAAAAAAGTTCATCTTAGAATCAATTAGATTAAAAATAAGTGATTTCAGGATCTCTGTGCAATATTTTGGGATAATTCTTTCGGGATTTCCATTTTAGCTTTTTTTTTTTTTAAGACAATCTCAAGCTGTAGTCCTGGGTACAGTGCTATTGTGTCATAGCTCACAGCAGCCTCCAACTCTTGGTATCAAGTGATTGTCTTGCCTCAGTTTTTCTATTTTTAGTAGAGATGGGGGTCTCGATTTTTTTTTTTTTTT